TAGAAAATAAATCCATTAATCGAAATATTGATAGCTCTTCAGAATCAGATGAAGGTTGCGATCAAGTTACCCATCTTCAAGATATCCGTCTATATTCCATTCATATACAGATGTACCATCATATTGACTACGACTCATAGAGAATTCTCTATCTTCATATTGAATATCTGGAAGAGTTGGTCTAGGATAATAATTAAAAGTATTTGGTCTGTTTGTCATTATAAAAGATGCTGTTGCTTTATGAAGAATAGACGTTATGGTCATGCTTTATGCAAAGTATGAAGAATAGACGTTATGGTCAAGACATCATGGTCAAAAGCAAATTCGATATGTTGGATCCATTAAGACAAACCGGTACCTTGCCTTGATGTTGAATAATTGGAATTTGTCTGACAAATTATATATATATATATATATATATATATATATTAAAATGATAAAATTTATGGGTTTGATCTTAAAACTTTTTATATAAATGAAGTGTTGGAAGTGCGTAGGGTTGAGAAAGCGAAATCGTCAAATTTAGAAAGCGTTAAAAATCTTCATTTTCTGCAATTTGTGAATGGAAGGATAGTGGATGTCTTCTCGTCTCTTTCAACAACTATCATCATCTGAATCACTTGTTCCTCCCTCCCTATCAATCACTATCATCATCTGAATCACTTGTTCCTCCCTATCAATCACTATCATCATCTGAATCACATCTTCTTCTTTCCAACCTCCCACAAACCAAGTTACAATTTTCTACCAAAACACAACCACCCCAAAAAAATTAAAGCCATCTTCATGGCATGTACAAGTAATTAATTGAGAATGTTTCATGGTTTTGAAAACTTATTGAAGGAATTTTAAGATTGTGGTTCTCTCCTACACAAAAACACTGGATGTTACAGAAGACACTTTTTGCTAAACACAAACAACAATCATAAACTAAACTAAACTAAACTGGATTACATTTGCTAATCAACCAAACACGAAACATCCATCTTTACCCCGTTTTAAGTTTATTATTATGCGTTGAAAACGAGGGTCGTGAAGAAAGCGGATAAATGATCTCGTAAAGATTTTGGAAAAAGCCTCGATCATAAATGTTGTTCTTGACGATCTCCACGTCTTCGAGATGTGATCTTCTAAAGAAAGATTTCCATTTGCTCTCTGGAGGCTTTCTCTCTTGGCTCAAATCACCTAAACTAGCTTTTAGTGCTTCTGCACTTGCCTTGGCTTCTTTCACCTTCCTTTGCCAGCTTAAATAGTCTTGCCATTTGAAGGTCTGTAAACATTAAAACATGTTCAATGCTAAGTCTAACGGATAAACCAAATCAAACCAAACGAGCCCGGCATATATCCCACATAGGGTCTAGAGAGGGTAAGATGCACGCAAACTTGACTTCTACCTCAAAGGTAGAGTGTTGTTGCCATTTGAAAGTCTACAACGGATAAACCAAACAAACCCAGTATATCTCATCTGGAGGTGGGGTCTAGAGAGAGTAAGATGTGCAGACTTGCCTCTACTTCAAAGAGTAAAACAGTTGTTTCCATTAAGTCGACGGATATCTGGAGGGAAATAAAGTGTTTGGACCCCAGGTAAAGTAAGTTCTAATAAAGACTCGTTTCTACCACTTATTTTTCCTTGTAAGAATGATACCATATTATGGCGTTCTTGGCATTTTGGCTAAGATCAAGTGTAATAAGAATGATATTTATGTTGATATTTGTAAAAATATAAGCTTTTGGCATAAAAGTAAGGGCCGTTTACCAAACACTTACCTGGTAAGCGCTTACCAATAAAATTTAACACTACCACTTACTTACAGGGTAAAACTTTACGTCCACCAAAACGGCATCGTATGCAACAATTTATCCGGTAAGCGCTTACCATGTTAAGAGTCGTCACCCTCACTTATCGGGTAAGACTCTTGGTCCTTGTCTCCCTCTTACTGGGTAAGATTCTTGGTCCTTACTATATTCATCCGGTAAGGTAACGTGATTTGGTAAGCGCTTACCCAAATAAGTGTTTGGTAAACGGCCCCTAAGTCTGGTAGACAAAAAAGTGGTCAGAAAAATGAGGTGCAGTGGTCATTTAATTAAAAGTTATTGCAGAGTGGGCAAAATGATATGCTACACACAGAGGTGGTATAATAATCTTATGTTGTCAACCGTATTGAATTTTTTTCGAATAGAGCCCCCTCAAAAAGGCAACCGTGGTGACTCTTTGCAGGTAACGTAGTTGTATGCAACTTTTCGCTTGCATTATTGGATAGAGGCCTTTTTCCGACACAAGCCCATGATCATCCAGTCACAAAGGAGCAGCCTTATTATACAAGCTGCTCTGAGGCTTTCCCCTTCTATCAATCTCCAAGTGATTTGCATACCAAACCAACAAAATAATTTATTAATTTTTATGTTTTGGGCAAAAGGCTCTAATATTCAAAGAAATGGAATACTGTCTTGCAAATTTGTGTAAAGACTTCATCTACAAAATGAATTCTATTGCAGCAAGAAGCTTATAGGGGGTGTAGAGAATACATATTTCATTTTGATTTCCATGACGCATAGGAAGCTACGCACCCTGTTCCATAAATATTGCAAGAATCGCCATTTTGAGAACAGCCATACTAATTGCACAATTTCTCATCCTTGACAAATTTGTAAGCTTGAATTGCTTATTTGCCCATATTCATCACGAAAACATGCATGTTACTGATTTTTTTTCCCATAATATTCACCTATTTTTGTCATTGTTGACGGGTATTTTTGCCAAACACGTACAGTCAAGCGTTTTAATGTTTATGGGGAGAGGGAAGTGGTATAATAAGTTAGGTAACCAACATTACCTCATTAGTAGTAGTGTTGCTGAGACAAAGGCTTGCATGGTACCCAAAGAAACCTGATAGAAGCAGAGAAACTATGGCCAGGAACACCATTAGAAGTATCTGAGTGTTGTAAGAGCCCAGCAACCACTGTTGCAACAAATGAGAAGTTGTTACAATAACTGATTAAACTATAACAACTCAATGGTTAGCAAAACTCATCAACTTACAAGTAAGAAGAACATATATCTGTTCACCTGGATTTATTTAATAATACCTCTTTTGCCACCATGTTTACTTACAGAAGTACAATCAATTAGATCACAAGTTACTATTTCTGCCTACGGGACTTTGGTCACACCCATTCTGTAGCACAGCGGTACGTAGGTTTTACTCATTAATAAACTAGCGGAATTTGATGAAAGTGTAATACGGCTTCAAAACCTTTTACACTCACGCTTGTCTCATCAATTCCCCTTTTCGGTTCTATATAACATCATTGATCCTCCCTCCATCCAAAAATGAAGGAAATTCTTGCTTAAAGCATGAATAGACAAAATCTTTGACCTTTTTGATGTTCAATTTTACTGCAAATCACTACAGAAAGATTGTGCTTGAATAGATTTCTCAGATGATGATTATGAAACTAGATTTATCAAGAGTATAGAATTAATTGTGGGTAAAGATATCGGATACAGTTTGTAGCTTAGGTGTTTATATTGTCTTCTGGTGCTAAGAAATCATATGTGAGCCGTCTACTCAGTCTGTTCGCGATTCTATTAAGAACCATCTTTCACATGGTATCAAAGTCAGGCTCTTGATATAAATCCTACTAATCACACAAGCGCAGGGCTCTTTGTTACTGCTGTCATCAGTCACATTGTCATGTGATCAAGTCGCAAAACCTGAACTGCAGAGGATGCAACGAATGTCCAACTGAATGGCATTCGTATCAGTCATAAAGGGGGCTTCTTCTCATCGTCACTTGCCATAATCCCTTTGCCATCAGTCAACAAGAGTTTTACGGTTACATAAACTATCTGGAGGATTGCAGCACAGAGGATCAGGACACCTCCTTGTGTCTCTAGGGTTTTTGAAGTATTTAATATTTATCTACGGCACACACATACATTCAGTGAGAACCCTTGACCTCCAAGGAGGTTGGGACAGCACTTGGCCATTGACCCTTTGTTGTGTGTCTATAGGGTTGCTGTAAAGAGTTTTTTGTAGCCATCTCTTCTTCGGTAATGGTCTGAGTCACTGAAAGGGTCCTATTCAGAATTCCCAGGAGTGATTTAAACTTCGCTTGAGCTTCCATCAGTTTATGGATTGTCTCAGATTTTATTTAGTTTTCCTTTTTCTAGTATTGCTGTTCTTTGGTATTCGTTTCGGTAATTTGAGTTGATACGGGAGGTAAAGCAATCAAAAAAGATAATAGAGATTGATAAGAAAGGAAATGGATTTCTTTTATTGTCTTGTTGTTCTCTGGTAACTATATGTTTAATTCCGTTCCTAAGGACAACTTGGGATAAGTATTACAAGAAGGATCTGGATTGATGATGATCATAGGAATGTATGGATGAATGGCAACAAGCTTAGGGTGTTAGGAGCACGAAGACTAATAAGTGGAATATACCAAACAAGATTGGCTTAGAAAGGACCAAGGAGAGTGTGGAAAGATGCTATTCATGTCTGGGTACCCTAGGGAACCACTTCTCTGTAATTTCTGTTGGGAGCATATTATTAGCCTACCCGAACTAGTTTGGTACAAAAGTCTTGTAGATGTTGATGAATAGTCAACTTTCGGCTGTGTTTCTTCAGAGTCGAGCATTTCACATCTAGTCATGTCTTCATGATAACTTTGCAGTTGGTAGAATTACTACTATAGTATATTTTCCTTCAGTATTTCAACTGAATATAGACATATAACATATATATATATGTATATATAAGCAATCAAAACTATTCTTCTAAACAGATTGCAGAACAAACCTGTACAACATGTGGAGCCAAACTCCGGAATGAATCTTCTATGCCATAATATGCTGCAATGGGAACACAAATACCAATCAAATCAAGATTTCAGTATGAGCATATAGTAACTAACTAAAGATATTATGGACATGAATTGTACCTGTTAAAATATATACAACTTCTAATTCTTTCAATCGACCAGCAAGAACTAGACCAATTGCAACTGTTCCATATACACAAAGAAAGAAATGCCTGCAGAGTGAAGTTGCATCATATGTTTAGACCAGATTAGGTGTGAAAATTGCTCATCTATGATACTTCCCAAGAATCCAAATTTATCACTACGATTGTGAGAAAAGACGAGTTAGAATCACTGGTTGACTCTGGCTCTTCACTTTCATTTATATTTTCTTTGTTTTTACTTGTTTCTTAATCTAGACAACCTGCAATGAGAATGGTAAGAGATATCTCCACCGCCAATTAATAATTAATCAATGGCCCATGTGTAACTTACCCAGTAAATGTTGCTAGGCAGTGTATACATGCCAAGATTCGACGATTTTAACGATCTAAGTATACAGAGATGCATGCCCATATATATTTATGTTTATGTATGGATTAATCTTAAACCAGACCAATATATAAACAGCATTTCCTTTTCAATAGGTCATGCAACCTAAAAATAATAAGATGAGGTGAAAACTAGGAAATGTGGAATACAATAAGCAGTGGACAAGAATATCCTCATAGTCAAGCCCAAGACTGTAGAAAGACCAGCTACTGAAAATTGCTTCCACCTTGAGCTCATAATGAGAGAGATCCACCACCTCAAACCCTTTGCCCCACCTCCTTACTATATTGCACAAGTGCTAAAAAGTATGTTTTGCTTTAAATTCCAATGTTTAGACCTGATTTCTAGATTTATAAATCATGAAATTTCATCCACATTGTTTTGTAAATTTATGATTAGTGAACTATATGTCTTCCATATGTCGTAAAAATTTCAAATTTACCCCCACATGTAAATCCGGTATAAGCGGTCAAGAACATGGAATAGAGTCAAAATCAAAACCTGCGAACACCCCACCACACAATGAACTGCACCTCTGAAGCACCTAGCTCAAGGGGGTAATAGCCACATCCTTGCTTCTAAGATAAACGGTAGGCAGAAGTAATCATGGGGATACATTAAATGAAGATATAAGTCCATCAGCTATTTTATCTCTTTCGGTTTTGTGTTTTCTACTTCTATTTTCTTTTTTCGGTTCACTTTAGTTGCAATGTTTTCAGTTCAGCAAGTATAGAAGAAAACAGAAGCACACTAATACAGTACATTTTGAATTGCTGTCAGATGATTAAAAAACTAGATTAACTCACCAGAGAAGAAACATTACGAAGTACAGCGTGTTTTTCTCCCCAATGCAATTATTCTGGAGTAATGAGGAACATAATTAATTCACATTATTCTAATTATACAGGAAGATATTTTTCCTTACAACAGATAAGGAATAATGGAAGGGAAAAATCAAACCATCCATCCACAGTGATGGTCGAACCGAGCAACACAACGATCACATATGCTGCAATGCTTTGACCGAGCAGGTCTGAATAACGAAGGAGTATTAAGATTTTAAAATACTATAAGTGTGCAACATCTATTCTAAGAAGATAATTGTGTAACACTCTTGTAAGAAGGTAATGTACATACTTTAGGATTTTGCAGGTCGAGCATTCTTTTTCAGAATAAATTATGTTGTCATAGGGATATACAGAGAGATATTTAGATACATTCTCGGGATTGATAGTTCCTGGATCAGAGAAACTAGTCAATAGAAAAAGTAAAATGCCCACACTGACAGCCAACAAGCTTGTGTATCTGCAATGAATATGTAGAGTCCAAGGAAAAAGAATATCATTTATAAGCTGAAGGTGACAGAAAAAACAAAGAAATTGACTTCATACCTGTGATATCCACCTATATAATGACCAGGAATATAATTAAAAATTGAGTACACGATCAAGTAATAAGTACCACCAACTATCGCCAAGTACATCGCCTGCAAGAAAAGGGAAAAATTATATGCTTCCCATTACATTAAATAGAATAATGGAAGAAGAAAATACGACGATGTATGCCAAGAAAACACAGAAGTATATCCCAACTTTGATTTTTGGAACCACTTATGTTTCTTAATGAAGCAGCTTCCGATTTTCTTTCTACCCCTGCATTCTCTTTTAAAGAAATAATGTATCAAAATACCATAATATCCATCCTTTTTCTAACAACTTTCTTCCCTTTTACCGGAAAACATTTCTTCCGTGGAAGCTCAGACAGCAGAGAGCTCTCCCTCCCTTCCTTGTCTGATCATGAAATGTTTCCTATTACCATCTTTTTCGTCCATCCATCATCTACTGTTTTCCATTTACCATCTCTTACATTCCTCCATCATCTACTTCATTAATAGGTACTAAGGGGGGGAAATGGGACAAATGTCAGATCATTCTCATTAGATTAAGAGACGTATGTTGTCCATTTTTCCCTTTCAGTACCTTAATGTATCCTTTGCTACAATCCTTTCAGTTCCATATGGACTGCTAGCATGCTTCTTAATTCATGTTAGGGACATTAAACAGCTGAACCCTATTTATGTTCTGATGAACGATTACGGACATCTTTTCCAATCTCAAGCTAACCAATCATTGAATCAGGTTAAGAAAATTTCCGTTTAGAGGCGGTATTTAGAGTGGTGGAATTGGAATCTTGAATCTCTAATCTTCCATTGACCTCAAAGCTTTTTCTGTTGTGACAACCAGGGTGAAATGCCCAACAAAGATGTACATGTTCAGGTCCCCTAGAAGATAATAGCACAAGTGTGCAACCGACACTGTCCATTCATATGCCTCTGGATGCATTTAGGGGCAAATTTACTCAGAACTAATAGGTTCTGTGTTAGCATGAAGCATGATTAAGCTCAAATTTAGAAATCTCCCTAAAAAAGTAAAGTACTGAGCGAAAATAAACATAACAGCAGTAAAAAGAAAAGGGTCTAGAAGCAGACTCCACAATGAAACAGCGCAGAGACAGAAGATTCAGACATTTCTTGCACATAGATGGTATTCCACACGATTATTTTGATTCCTTAAGACCAAAAATATGGATAGTTGCCTTTCAAAAAAAATATGAATAGGAGAGAACAAAGAATGGAAAAACTGTTCTAGGGAAAGCTAGTAACAACCCTAGTCACAGGAGCTAGTAGGATGAGTTCCTCTTCTTTGTTTATCAAGTATGGACTCCTAGAGGACTCTTGTTAAGAAAAAAAAGAATCAACTCTCTGCTGCTCGTTTTGTTGGAATAAAATACAGGGACGAGAGCACTGTTTAGATATATATGTTTCATTCATCTTCCAGATGAAATGAAACACATCCATTTCCATCTGTATCGAAAGAAATTTCCTAGATTTCCATTTCTGTTTCAAAAATGTTATTGTAAGGAGACTGTTAATGATATTGTAGCATTGAGAGAGAGAGAGTTGCAAGCATGCTTAAGTAAATTTTTCAAAAGCGAAGAAAACATAAAGGGTTAAGATTAAAAAAAAGGACTTGAGGTTAGTTAATTCTTGCAATATTTTCAATCAAGAGAACTTGAGATTAGAATTATATATATTGAAGATTTAGGATTGATTCAAGAGTACTACAGTTTAGCGCCTATGTCAGCATTTTCAGCATACGCCTATGTCAGCATTTTCAGCATATGTAACATGGAAGCTAGATGCCATCAATTTTGTGGGTATAGGATGTGTTAAGCTCCAAATGGAAGTGATTAACAAACAATTGCAGACTAACTATTTATGCTAAATGCTAGCAATTGATGAGGTGGGCGAGCACTTATTAAAAAAGGTAGACATGATTACATGACATCAGCATAGGTTCAGAAATATGTTGGAAAAATGGTCATACAAGGTAGAGTGCAGCAGCAAGCAGAAAGTCCTTGCCCTTATAGTAAGATGTGCTTCAAAGAACATGCACAATAGATCTTGGAACTTGGAAGGTTATCACTCATAAGATCAAAGGAAGGATTCCAAATCTGAATGTTATTCAACTAGCTACAAAAGGAGAGGTCTGTAACCTTCAAAGCAGATACACACATTCAAGCCTCGTACACCACTATAGAGAGCACAATATGTCCCTTGAGAATTGATCAGCTTATTTCACAGGAAGAAAAATAGGAGTCAAAATTGCACTGAGCTTCATCACATTTGAATTAAAGAAACCATCAACACTGTAATCAATTTCTTTATGACATTAGTTAATAGGCAATACGGCATCCTTGGTCTAAACTAAATTTTATAGAGTGATAATTACCTTAGGGGCTGTTTGGTAGGTTTTCCATTAAGTCATGTCTGTCTATGTGGATTAATATGTCTATATAGATTGAGAAGGTTTTTGTTTTGGAGGGTTTTTTCATAGACGGAAGGAGCTTGCTTTTTTAATTGGGAGGGGTAGGTTTGGAAAAAACTTGGCTTTCTGCATAAAGCTCCCACTAGAAGCTTATAGAATAAGCCATTTTCTATATCATTAAGCCCCTACCAAACGGTCATTTATTGCTGACCGAATAAGGTGCGAGTCCCATTAAGCTCATTAAGCTGCTAACAAACAAGCCCTTAACCTGGAAGCTGCTCCTCCAATCTTCTAGATTTAACATGTCCTGTTATCATATTAATTTCACCATAGTTAGGGTTAGGGACTTTTTAATCTTGTAATTTTTATCCACTCACCAGGTAATGAGGACTTGTTTGATTTTATGGATTGATTGAAGCGATGGGCTACCCAAGAATGGTAGCAACATGAAGTAAAGAATATAGGCAACGCACTCTTTGATGAAGTACAAACACTAGGAACATTCTGAGTCTTCCAAGTCCTATAATTATCACAAGCGAATTCAAATAAGCAGTGGGGGAGAATAAGAAAATACAAAAGATAAATGCTTCTCATGTGCAGGACCACATCAGGCAAGGAATTGTCCAAGAATATGACCAATGCAATGCTTGAAAAGTTGGGATGGGGAAGCAAAGCTTGCTAAGACAATCACCGCCTCACCATTGCCACTTATTCAATGAGTCAAGTTAATTTAAGGATTGCCTGAAGAGAGAAGTTCCAGAGAAATGGTAGAACAGTTTCACAAGGAAAAGAAAGAGACGCACAATACTGGCACGATCCAAGGTTAGGGACCATGATCATGCAGTTGAAGAGCAAAAAACCACAAATGGATGTAACAAAGCATGGACATTTGCAAAGATGCAGGTCATGATGAGGGTGTCGTGAATTGGGTGGGGGAGAGTGTCATAAATCAAGCATTTCAAATACAGAAATGAAATATAGTAAGCATTTCAAGTACGGATATGAAATATAGTTGCCATGCAGATGCCCGTTTGGTGTATGTAATGAAACATTTTACAAGGAAGATTCTAGACGTCACCACAATGCCCAAGGATAATCTATTGTTCTCCATCATATTATAAGACTTTTCTATTCTAGTTTAGTCTTGTTGTACAATCCTATTAACTCACAAGTATCATATACTTAAAGGTACAATTCTCATAACTGCAGTGAACTTCTTGCCTTGCATCACTTCTTGGAACTCTTCAGATGTCTCTCGGCCAATTATGAGAAATAGGCAGTAACTAGATTATTACTTTGTTTAGTTTCACACACTCTCTCCTATTCTTTCACAGTGCTTGCTTTAATTTCTTTTCTCATTGTCTACTGTACTTGTTCTGATTCTACAAAACTCTTCTTACTTTACCAAATATGTCCTGAGCACTTCGTTAACTCTTCAAATCAGTCAAATCTTTCTTTTACAAGTTGTATGGGTCACTCAAGACTTCCCCAATATTTTTTCACAAGAACTTTTATCAAGCCTAGTGTATTAAAACAGCCTCTTTACTACCTTGGGACAGGGGAAAGGTCTGTGTACATCCTTACCCCCTCCCCCCAAACCATACCTACACATTCAAAAGACCAATGTGGTGCAATAATACCCAGTGCCACCCTATTCTAATATAAACTTAATTAACTAGCAGACTAGGGACAGCTATAAATACCCATTGCATATCTTCCTGACACAACGAAAATCCTTGTTGTGGTTTTCCCTTATGATCTAAATCACAGATTATGGTAGTACCTCTTCCCTTCCCAATTGATTGACTTGATGCCTCCATTTCATCTCCCCTAATTTTGAATATCTCTCTCTGGCACCTACTTGTATCTTAAATCAGTTCCCCTTGAGCATCCACAGCTAGACGGCTAGACCCCCATGAATCTATCACAAACAAAATCAATTATGCTATTTTCGCAAACAGAAACATATAAATGATACAAGTTACATAAGAGGAAACCTGTAAGATGGGGTTAGGTCGATCACAGCAGTAGTACTGAGCAAGATAGAGTGCATTGCTACCTCTAGAGCCAAACACGAACTCAACAAATCGCCTGTACAATTATAGATACACAATGTTAATAAAGCAGGTTTGTGTATCTTTTGGAGACAGCTATGGCCTATTCTATGCAGGCAAAAACATTTTATTAGCCAGGTTAACAAAAGCTATAACATTTAAGGTAAATAAAGCCGTATGCTTTCACTTTTTTCCCAATTGCATACTTGAATAGAAGGATTTATCAACCATATACTTCATTTCCTTTTAACTGAATCAAATCACCTAAAATAAATCATCAATAACCGGTCAAAAAGTTGATAATTTCTGTCAAATTGTTATTCCCTTTGTTCTCTTGTCCCAAGTTGACATTCATGTTGCTTAATTTGATTCAAATTGGGCAACAATGGTGTAATTCACATGGTAATGGAAGAATGAGTATATGATCCACAGATATGTTTTGTCCATATTTGAAAAAAGGTGTGAAAGTAGAGTGATGTTCTTATCCATTTTGCCAGATATTTAACAACTAATTGTTTGTAATTAATTGGAAATTGTTCAATTGAGTAACAGAAATAACATAAGTTTCCCAAAACTCTAAGATCTTCCTTCCTCTTGTCCATGGTAGCTTGAACTCAAGTCTTCAATGGCGGATCAATGTCCCATTATACTACGACAGAGGTGCACCGTAAATTATGAAAAATTCGATATGTTATAAGGGTTTTTTTTGAAGAAAATATCAATTTTTGTTGGGTCAAACAGTCGATAAAAATCATAAAAACCCCACTTCAACATAACGAAAAATTGCGTTCGATTAACTTACCAGAAGTAATCTTCATTTTTTGGAAGGAAACTTACCGAAAGTAATCGAAAGCACCGAAAGTAAGGAAGTTGTGAATGCGTTGGATGAAAGTGCCTTGAAATATGGGCCACTGACCGCAAAGAAAAGATACGACGACCAAGAGGGTTACCAGGCCATGGCACACCAAAAGCCATTGTACGGCCATGAAGAAACAAAGCAACAAAGTGAAGTAGGAGAGAAGGAGGAGGATGATGATGGTGAAGGTGAAGAAAGGGGATGAAATCTGGATGGGTTGACTTTGTCAAGTAAAAGACTCCATTGTTGCTTGCGTTGTAAGCCGGCAGATGCAGTACATGGTTGTACTTAAATAAGGGGGCTTTTGATTTGGTTTGGTTGGGGTATTAGAATACGAGGATCGGGAATCATAATGATTAATAATGCTCAGTACCACCAATTATTGAATTGTTTATAAAAATCAGAAGGATACTGATTGAGATACATATTGGTTTCAGTGTTTTGTTTTTTTTATTTTGATATATGGTTTTATGTGGTTTTGAGAAAGCGATAATATTTTTATTTTTGAATAAAATATAAATTTAAGAATATCATAAAATTTTGAAAAAGAAAATATCGATATCAGTATCAAATTAATTTTTTTAAAAGTTATTATGTTTTGGTGTAAATTCTTTAATTAAATTTTTTAATTATAATTTAATTTAGGTTTAGTTGTTGGAGATATGCCCATTGTCACAACATAATTCACATTGCATGCTACTATTGGGTCGCACGCAAAGTCCAAATAAGGTGCAAGAATAAAACGTAAGGGACTAAGTTTGTTAAACATCATTTTTGATGGTTTATATTAGAAACTTATAAAATATATAAGTCATCCTTAAAATACTTTGTAAATTGAAGGGTTTAGCTTGCAATTTACCAAAGTTAGAGGGGTTGAGTTGAAACTTTGAGAAAGCGCTCAAGCATGCATGGCATGGGACTTGTGCCACTTGAGTGGCTCTTTTTCCTTCTCTTCTTTAATTGGGTTCGGCTGAACCCATACACACACAAAAAAAAAATTACTTTTTCTCTCTACACACAGACTAGTGTGTGTTCTTGGTGTTCTTGAGTTTCTTTGGCCAAACTTGAAGAAGAAAGATGACTCTCTTGCACCTATACTTGGAGCTTTGGGTGTGAACACATAGAGGAACTCTCCTTTTGGGTTCTCCTTGCAAGTGAAGGTCGAAATTATTTATCTATCTCTTGTTATGTTGCTTAATCTCTTGTACATTGGATCCTTTTCTTGTTGGATGGTTTTTAAGTTTTTCGCTTCCGTTGCATGTATGTTTTTTTGTTATAACCATCCTCCAACATTAGTAACAAAGAAATTTAATTTAGGTTTAATAATATAATTTTTTTTATAAAAATCATAACTAAATATTCTGTTAAAACTTAATGATTATCTTAATTATTTTTTAGATTTTTTTTATTTAAAATGAGATGTTTATTTAATATTTGATTATGTTTATTTACAGTTAGTTAGACGAATTCAAATATGGAGTTTTAATAAGTTGTACTTATGTACAATTTACTTGTAATCTTAAATTTTAAGTAATATGCATCATTAAACAGTACTTCATGCATAAAAAATGGTTTTTAAGAGTTTTTGTCAAATGTTTTATAATATAGTATAGATAACTTATTGACTTATTCTGATGTAGCACCGGTAATAAGCACTTTTAAGTCTTTGGATAAACAGATTATACTGGTACCAAACATGTAATAAGGAGTTTTTAAAGAAGTTAAACTATTCTATCTTATAATAAGTTGATAATGACTTTTGTAGAAAAACATAAGTTGTTCCAAATAAGCAATCCCAAGCACCCCCTAATATTTAATAAAATATTGGGTGACGTTTCTTTTTTAAGAGGTGTCGAAGTCTGAAGTTTGATTTATAAAAGGTGGTGCTGAGATCTGAAATCTAAAGCAGTGATATTGTTTGTTTTTACGTCTGAAGTCTGAAATCTGAATCAGTCAGACTGTTTGTTTTTACGTCTGAAGTCTGAAATCTGAATCAATATAAGACTGTTTGTTTTTGTAAACTGACAAACATTTGAAGTCTAAAACCTGAATCAATTCATTTTAATTAAATTCACTAACCTGAAATATCCAATCATTTAAACCATTTGTAAACTAACATCTATTTTTAACACATCCAAACTTCAATAATAATACGTCAATTGATTCTACACATAATATTAAACACAAACAAAGTCTCATAACAACTAGAATCAATATTCATTTTGCATTAACTGTGTCGCAATTTCTACTCTTAAACTAGCCATATATATTTGGTTAGTGGCACTCCCATGCAATTGAACATCTTCAACCTCATCCTCGCCATCATCCCCTTGGTCGTTGGTTTGATCCTCGCTGTCATCCCCTTACACGTGCATTCTCGTCTATACTAATTAGCACACAAGTAATTGCAAATAAGAAGCGCATAATAGAATTCTTAAGACGTTTTGATAACAACAGAATTCTTAAGAGGCTTTGATAACAACAGAGTTTTTAAAGATGAATCTTAAACTTCTGGGTCCAACCTCACAAAAATTAACAAATTGAAAAACTTGTAGACCTGCCCATCAGCAGATTGTAGATATGCCAAAACTATGAAAGAGGATGCAGGTTGCAGGTTTAGTCAAGGCTGAAGGTTTCATAAAAGAGAAGAGAAAGGAGACAATAAGGATGGGACAAGCTCGAATTAGAAGACAAGACATGAGCAGTCATTTTCTTCCCTTCAAGTCTCTTTCATATCTTCGCCTATATAAAGAGGACTTAGGCATTTCACTAGATCATCTGTGCAACCGAGAATCAACTTAGAATCATTTAGTTCTTGTGTTTTGCTTTCCACTTAGTTTCATTTCTACACTATTTACTTTATGTTCGCACTGTGGGGGGTCTGACCACAGTGGCAAGTTTTTGTTTAATGCAATTTACTTTTGAGTATTTATGTTCTTTCATCATGTTTTTACTTATGAACAATAGCTAAACCCCCCTGGGTGTAGGTGTAACACTTGGGTATTACCGCTTTTTACTAACTCCTCGTTTTGGTCATTGTGTTAAAGCTTTAACTCAACACGGGAAAGCTGATCACTTGTATGTGTTAATATTAGATCTTTGACCCAGAGATGGACGGATTCGATATACGACTTGAATGATGCAAGGAGTTTTGGGAAATCTTCAATAATTGCATAGAGATATGGATTTTTGCATGATCGTACTAAGGTTCAGATGTTAGTCAAGTTAGTGTGTCATAAAGATACGTGCATCTCTCCATATTGGTGGAGCTAAGATCTTCTAGATCTACTTAGTAAGATTGACAAACTAAAAGTTAGCATTTTGTGGATACTTTATGATAAAACTGTAATCACAACCCATACGACGTAACTTCGAGAAGAGGAAATCGTATGAGATTATTTGTGACTGTTTTCGTCAACCACTTAAGTTATTATTTTACTTTCGAGGAAAAACTTACACCTATAACCACTTCTTTTACTTACTGTTTTTAATCAACCATACTCTATCAACAACAACCCATTTTTATAAATTCTAATTTTGCACCGAAAGTTTGTGAAAATCTCCGATTCTTAGTAGTCCAGTTCCTGAGGAAACGATCTTTGGAATTTACCATTGTTTGAAAAAGCGAACTCAATGGTTGGTGTACAATTATTGTGCCACGATTTATGTATGTTATTTTTTCTATCAGTTAGTAATGAACACATTTTATTAGGGTTAGGGAGGAATATATTTTGTTCTAGATTTTGATTTTGAACAAATTTTATTAGGGTTAGAGAGAAATTGATTTGATTTGAACAAATCTTGTTAGGGTTAGGAAGGGTACTTGATTCGATGTTACGGATCTTGTTAGGGTTAAGAGCGTAAAATATATATAATCTCTGATTCCATCTACTGTCATTGTTTCATGATTTTTTCAATACAAAACATCAACAACGTAATATGATACAATACAATACAATATAAAATAACGCATGGATATATTCATTCCTATTTCTAAGCATATTTATTCCCATTCTCATTTCCATTTAAAACGAACCAAACACCCCATAATTAATTTTTTTTGTAATGTTAAGGGTATTTGAGTCATTTTATCTTTTCTTTTAAAGTGAATTACATGTTGGTTCTTTTGTACCTGTAGTTTTTCGCTTTTGTTCCCTAAAATTCAATAAATACATCATCAATCCTTATTTCATGTTTCATATGCATACCAAACAAGTTCCTCGAGTTCCAAAAGTGTCCTCCCAAAAATGTCCCTAACGGCAACAATCTCTCCACTCATACCTTCAGAGCCCAGTGCTTTGCGGTCTTGATATACTTGTCACTGAATAAAGCTATAAAACATTAAAACGGAAAGTATAACTTTAAATCATGACTGTTCTATATTAAAATCATATTTACTCTTGGAAGGGCGTAAAACATCGTAAGATAACGGGGGAGAACCGATTTACCATTGACAATTGTGGAACACAACACAATGTTATAAAGATTATATTATGGAACATTAGTCATCAAATTCAACCACCCACGGTCTATAGCTCTAGTCCTCCAATGTCTAAGAAATACTATTTGGATAGAATTAGATCTTTACAGATACACGGTCATCAAGTTCAGCCACTCACTGTCTGTAGTTTAAGTTCTCTGGTGATTTAATACCCGTATCTAGCAAAAAGGGGATTAACTGTCCCACATTATGTATGAAAAAACGATTTATATGCCTATGGATCTACTGCATCTAGTCTTACATATATATTTCTCTAGATATGTCAAACCATATACAATATATAAACATTTGTATCCTACTAGTTATCAAATAGGTAAAATCCTCGTTTTATCAATTAGAATCAAAGTTATGAACAAAATACATTTAGGCTATAAAACCCATCAAGACTTTAATATAATCATTTCTCATATATTTTAAACCATCCCAAACACTTGTTTTATCAAGAGATATATCATCCCGAAATTCCCAAATTTGACCAAGATGGTCAAAATCATTCAAATGTAAAATACTTGAAATAAAAGTTTCAAAAAACTAAAATAGAACATTTGAACATGTATATAGCTTAGTAAAACTATAGGATGAACTCACAAGCTAGATTTTGAAGAAAACCTAAAAACCAAGCAAAATGGAGGGGTGAAGGAGCAGATCTTGAATATTCAACACAATTACTAAGATCTTTGAGCTTTAATGCTCATAAATGCTTGAATGCCCGAATCTACCTACGGTTTAACTATGGGTCTTTTAATGAAGATAGAGAGAAAGAGAGAGAGAGAGAGAGA